GTACTTTATATCTTTTTGTCCCCATGTGTACCCATCAATTAGTTCCACCTTATTAGATAGCATATGTGGTATTTATTTTTCCATTTCTGATACACTTAGGATAATGGTCTCTAGTTCCATCTATATTGCTGCAAAGAACATTCATTTCTTTTTATGGCTGAGTGTACTCCATGGTATACATATACTACATGATGTTAATTCACTTACAAATTAATGGGCACTTGGGTTGATTCCACATCTTTGCAATTGTGAATTGTGGTGCAATAAACAATCGAGCGCAAGTGTCTTTTTGATAAAATGACTTTTCTTTTGAGTAGATACCTAGTAGTGGGATTGCTGGATCATATGGTAGTTCTACTTTTAATTCTTTAAGGAATCTCCATACTGTTTTCCATAAGGTTGTACTAGTTTGCAATCCTACCAAGAGCATATAAGTGTTCCTTTCTCTCTGCATCCATGCTGGCATCTATTTGACTATTTAATAATGGCGATTCTGATAAGGATAAAATGATCTCGTTGTGGTTTTAATTTGCATTTCCCTAATTAGTGATGAACATTTTTTCATGATTATTAGCCATTTATCTATCTTCTTTTGAAAAACTTCTATGTCTTTTGCCCACTTTCTAATGGAATTGTTTCTTTTCTTGCTGAGTATTTTTTTATTTCATCATATTATGGAGGTACAAATATTGTTAGGGTTACAAATACTGCCCCTGACCCACCTCCCTCCCCCCCCATGTGTCCAATCCCCTGGTGGTGTGCATCACACACGTTATGGAATGATTTGAGTTCTTTGTAGATTCTGGATATTAGCCCTTTATTGGATCTATAGTTTACAAATATTTTCTCCCATTCTGTAAGTTGTTTGCTCTATTGATTATTCTGTTTGCTCTGTAGAAGCATTTAATTTCATTATGTCCCATTTATCTTTGTTGTTGTAATCACCTTTGGAGATTGAGTCAAATTCTTTGCTGAGGCAGATGTCTAGAATAGTTTCTGCTACATTTCCTTCTACAATTTTTACGGTTTTATGCCTTACATTCAAGTCTTTTATCCATCTTGAATTTTTGCAAATGGTGAGAGGTAAGAGTTCATTCTCCTACATGTGGCTATGCAATTCCCCCAACACCATTTATTGAATAGGGTTTCTTTTCTCCAGCGTATGTTGTCTGCTTTGTCAAATATCATTTGGTTGCAGGTAGCTGGTTTTATATCTGGTTCTGTTCCATTGGTCTATGTCTCTATTTTTGCACCAATATCATGCTGTTTTAGTTACAATAGACTTGTATTGTTTGAAGTCTGGTAATCTGATGCCACCAGATTTGGTTTTCGCTTAAAATTGCTTTGGCTATTTGTGTTATTAGTTACAGACCAAGCATAGAATGATTCTTTTCGAGATGTATGAAATATGGCGTTAGTATTTTGATGGGGACTGTGTTGAATCTGTAAATCAATTTGGGCAGTGTGGACACTTAAAATGTTTATTCTGTCAATCGATGAGCATGTGTTTTCCCATTTGTATGCATTCTTTCCTCAGTGTTTCATAGTCCCCTCTGTAAAGATCTTTCACCTCCTTAGTTGAGTATATTCCTAAGTATATTCTTTGTAGCTATTGTAAATGGTATTGAGCCTTTCATGTGACTCTCAGCTTGACTGTCATTGGTACACAGAAACACTGATTTGTGTACATTGATTTTGTAACCCGAGACTTTGCTGAATTTACTTGTCAATTCCAGGAGTCTCTTGGTGTAGTCTTTGGGATTTTCTAGATATAAAATATCATCAGCAAACGGTGGTGGTTTGATCTCCTCTTCCCTGATTTGGATGCCCTTTCTTTTTCTTGATTGCTCTGGCTAAAACTTCCAGCACTATGTTGAATAGAAGTGATGACAGTGGGCACTTTTATCTTGCTCCAGTTCTTAGGGGGAAACACTTTCGACTTTTCCCCATTCAGTATGTTGGCAGCTATGGGTTCATCCTATATGGGCTTTATAATTTTGAGATATGTTCCTTCTTATCAAGGGTTCGCAATGCTCCCAATATAACCAGGTCCCCAGGCAGTGTGTGCTGCAAGAGATGGGAGAGACAAAGACATAGGCACAAAAAGTAAGGTGAAAGGGTGTGGGGAAGATCAGAGGACCACCAGCATTCCCATGAGCCAGGTGGTACTGACTGAAATTTAGGACCCGTTTTTATTCTTTTTCATGCTATAGATTACAATGATTTCACATGAGAAGCTCGTGGGTTACAATGTGTGGAAGTTTCAAGTCTCCCCTAATAGTCACAAGATGTCTTAGCTAATTACTCTATCTATAGAAGCAGGAACACATAGCTGGTTACTAAGCACAACTACACTTTAAGGTATGTGCAGATAGTATCTCTGAACTCAGCAGCTGTGGCCCATTCAACTGAGGAACAAAGAGATTAGTACTACTTATTGGGAGAATAGCTCCCCATTAATGAGGCATTCTACTGAGAAAGGGGAGGGAAGGAACTCAACCTGGTGTTTAAGAATTGGAGCCTGGGTACCTTCTCCTGGGCTAAAATTTTGCAACCTTCCTTTACAGCTGTGGGTGGCTCCGTGGCTTTTTAGGGATGAGGCCTCTCAGGCTTTAAGGTGAGAGTCTGCTTTGCTGTACTCTCAGATCACTGGAATGTCCCTCAGGTAGGCAGGCAGTTAACTTCTGCTTTTATCCCTGGGCTCCTGCTCAGGCAGCATTCCCTCACCCCCTCTCCCCTCACAGCCTCAGAAATAGGATCCCTAAGTCCCGGTGGTCTTATCCCCATCACTTTATGTGCCTAGTTTTTTGAGGATTTTTATCACGAAAGGGTGCTCGATTTGTCAAATGCTTTTTATGTATTGAGATGATGCAGTCTTTTTCCTGTTTATGTGGTGAAACACATTGATTTACATATGTTAAAACATCCTTGCATCCCTGGGATGAAACCCAGTTGGGCATGGTGAATTATTTTTTTGAGATGCTGTTAAATTCTGTTTATATTTTGTTGAGGATTGTTGCATCTATATTCATAAGGGATATTGGTCTTTAGTTTTTTGTTGTGATTTCCTGGTTTGGTATCAGGATGATACTGGCCTTATAGAATGAGTTGGGGAGGATTCCTTCTTTCTCAATGTTATGGAATACTTTCTGTAGTATAGGTACTAGCTCTTCTTTGTAGGTCTAGAATTCTGCTGTGAATCCATCTGGTCTTGGGCTTTCTTTGTTGGGAGATTTTTTACTACTTCAATCTTGCTGCCCATTACTGGTCTGTTCAGCTCTATTTCTTCCTGATTGAGCTTTGGGAGGTTGTGAGATTCCAGGAATTTGGCCATTTCCTCTATGTTTGATAATCTGTGTGGAGATTTTTGTGGTATTAAAAAATATTTTGGATTTCTGTGGTATCAGTTGTAATATCTCCTTTTCCATTGAGCTGATTTGGGCCCTTTCTCTTCTATTCCTGGTTAATCTAACAAGAGCCTATCAATTTTATCTTTTCAAAGAACCAACTTTTTATTTCAATGATCCTTTGTATTGTTTTCCATTTCATTCAGTTCTGCTCTGAGATGTTATTTCTTTTCTGCTGCTTTGGTTTGCTCTTCCTTTTCTAGTTCCTTGACATGTGACATTACATTGTTAATTTGATCTGTCTTTTTTAGCCAGACATTTAAGGCTAAGAATTTCCCCATGAGGAATGTTTTTACTTAATCCCATAGATTTTGACAGCTCATGTTACCTTTGTCATTCAGTTTGAAGAATCTTTTGATGTCGATCTTAAACAATTATTGGGTCATGAATGAAATTAACAGCAGGTTAAGTTTCATGACTTTGTGTAGGTATGTTTCTCATGATTAATTTCTAATTTTATTCCACTGTGGTCTAAGAGGATATAGGATACGATTTCAATTTTTTGCATTTGTTGAAACCTCCTTTGTGCTCTGTGATGTGGTCATTCTTGGAGAATGTCCTATGTGTTGGTGAGAAAAATGTAGTCAGTACTTTTGGAGAAGAATGTTTTGTAAGTGTCTAGTAGTTCCTTTTTTTTTATGTTCTCAGGGACAACAACTTTATTTTAGCATATTATGGGGGTACAAGTGTTAAGGTTACATATATTGCCCATGCGCCCCTCCCCCCTTGAGTAAGAGCTTCAAGCGTGTCCATCCCCCACACATTGCACATTTTACTCGTTCTGGTTGCATATACCCAACCCCTCCTCCCCCGCCAACGAATTGTGGCTATGTGGCTGTTGAAACTATAGCCCTCTCAATGACTCTAACATTCAAGAGATTAAAAGAATTCAGCCCCAGAGGTTTTATACACGAAAATAGGAACAACATAACTGAATTTGACTGCATTTAAAAACAGTTCACTTCCAAATATACTAAGCAGCTGAACAGGCTTCAGTGCTGCCTGTGGTCCCCGGGATTGGAAGAGTCCCGCTCCGGGGAGTGCCAGGCCCTTTTATGCTTGTGGGACCTGTCATGGCTCCTACTTGTATGACTACGCCCTTCAGAACGCCTGTTCCAGCCAGAATGTGTGTCTGAGCTTCGCCCTCTGTCCCTATCCCTGTTCTTTTCTTCTCTTGCCTCCCTCCTGCTTGAGGACTTGTGCTCACGTTTGGGTTTCTCCTCTGGCTCCCTCTCCAGGTCCTGGGCTCCAACATGCCAGGTGGTCCTGGCCTCAGGGGAGGCCGAGTAGCGCTTCCGGCCCTCCTTGGACTCCAGCAAGAACTCCGAGAGAGTTCAGAAGCCACTGTGCTGCTTAGGGTCATCCTTCTCCTTTATTGCCTTGCTTCCGGGTGATGAAGAGGACGGCTGCTCAGCCTCTACTACCCGGTCGGTCTTCTCCTTTTCTTTTTTAATGAGTTTGTCATCTTCAGAGCCCTCAGACAAACTCGGAGAGGGGGTACGAGCCCCACAGCCCTGCTCTTTTTTTTTTATTTGCAAAGATTTTATTATGAACTTTTATTATGAGCTTTTCAAAGTCACACTTTTAATCCGCCTCTACTACTTTTTCCCTCCAAGAATTCCCCCAAAGCTATAAAAAATAGAAATTTATAAATATACATTGAGAATTATGCAGTTTTTACACAACAATGGGCAGGTCAATGTTTCAACTTCTCTAACTCTTTCCCAGTGGCTCCCATCCAGAACTGGCAGCAGTGCAACCTCTGAAAGTTCAGCAGCAGAAAAGGCAACCCTTTTCCCAATCCAGTAGCACTAGGGCCTGCAGCAGGTGCTGGTGTGGGGTAATGACGAGGAGTGAGGACTGCAGAAAACATTGATTGGGATGACCGCTCCCAGAAGCGATGAGAACGGCAGGCCGGGTTCAGCCATGGCTCGAACCTGGGACTGTATTTAAACTCGCCAGGCCAAGAACTGCCAAGGGCTGAATCACACACTCCGAAGGGTTGGCACAGATTCAGTCTAATGTGGGGAATCCAGTTTTTTCATTATTGTCCCCTCTTTAGTTCCGGGCAAAGGGACAGAGTGTCCCAGAGAACAGTGATGCTAGGGGGACACAGAGCCTGCTGGCAAGCCCCCAAATTTCTCGAGTTTTCAAATTCACCAAGAGAATGGACACTTATGAGATGACTATAATTAAATATGGACCTTAGGGTTCTAACCCAGGGAACAGCGTGTTTATCTAGTGGTAACTTCCAGGTGTTTACAGGCATCTTTCTTCCTTCCAAGATCAAAGGATATTAGCCTGCCCAGCATCTTCCTTCAAAACTTCTTTTCTGGTGTGTTGAGTACATCAATCATGAAGCCATCTTTCCCCAGGACGCAGAGGTTGAGCAGATGCAGATGTGCTTCCTGGAGAACACCTCAGCCTAGACTGCGGGCTTCTCGCAGCCCACTCCCACCGCAAGGTGGGAACGTGGCCTTCCGTCCACACTGGCCTTGCGGCAAACCAGCGAACCTTTTCGGCTTTCAGAAGACAAGGCCAAACCCAGCCCTCAGAATCCCACCGCACCAAATCCTTCTCCTACAGCTTAAAAATCTGTCTCCTTTATCAGTCACAGCATAACACAGCCAACGCCCAGGCTCTTGTCAGAGAGCCCTCTTTTCCCGGGAGGGGCAGGACTTGGAAGTTCCCAAAGCACAGGCTCCACAGAGGGACGACAAATGACTGACCACAGAGGGGACAGAGAGCACTGCCCCACATCAAACGCCGACCAGAGGATCAGCGCCACTCTGCCATGTCACTGTCCTCCACATTGATGAGAATGTGATGAGCTCGCAACTCCTGCCAGCCCTGGGTCAAAGCTGTGACGTGTGGCCTCCTGTGGCCAGCGTGTTGAGGGGGCGCAGAGTCACTTCCATCAGCTCAGCAGGGCACTTGGAGCCCAAGCGAGGAGAGAAGTAAGAATGAGGTCCTGACATGATAAATTAGTGTGACAAATTGTGAGTCAACAAAAGGGATCCCGACATCCTGAAACACACCCCGGGCAGGCAGGCAGTGTTCTTGGTATTACAGCAAGCACGGCGGCAAAGAACCCTTCTTTCCTGCCACGTTCCCTGGTCTTCTGGGTTTCAAAGCAATCAAGTCCTATGATGATAAATGAAGTCCCCGCTGCTGCTACGCCCACGGTACATGCTCACTGATTAAGCAGCCTCATTATTACCATCATCTTTTCCTCAAACCAACCATCCAGTGAAAACAGGTCATCTTAATATAAGGTTTGCTATTAAAATCACGTCCAGTCACATCCCCAGCCTTGGCTCAGCCACAAAGAGGTCACTCTCTCTTCTGCCCTGCAGTGGCTGTAACTCCCCAGGGGGGTGGTGTCCGGGCCCGTGGACAAGCCAGGCTTCCTTCTCAGCTGACGAGAGGGACTTCTTCCTGCGGATCTTGGGTTTCTTCACAGGTCGCAGATAGGGGTTATCAATGATGCTCTCTTCCCCGTTGCGGCTTCCTGACAAGGCGGGCTTCTGCTGCAGGACAGAAGTGTTCTCCTTCTCGGCTCCAGAATCGTCCGTACTGCTATGAAGAGTGAGGTTCTCTGTGTCTGTCTGCTCGTCCTGCTCCGAGGAATCCGTCTCTTCCATTTGTTGCATCTCCAGCTCAGACGGAAGAAGAGCTGTCAGGTAGGGGATGCTGAAAGGTCTGGCAGCAATCAATGGAAATGTGCTGATGTCATCTTTGAAAGGACTCTGGGTCTCTCCTGTCTTGGCCATGAAACGGGCGAGTGCCCGCTCCACATCGCGCCTCTGGGATGCAGCCTTCTCCCTCAGTCCCTGGGAGTCCCACACAGGCTCTCGGAAAGTCGGAGTGTTGATGTAGGTGTGGGGATCGGGGAACTCAGGAAAATGGCTGGGGACGTGTGGCGGGCGGGGTCAGTTCTGCCCTGCAGTGAGGGCCTTGGGGGTCACTGGCTGATTGGTCACTGGAGGAGCAGCGATGACCATCCTCCGAGACCGTTTTGCATAAGCTGGGAGAGTGTCCGCATTGAAACCCATCTCAACAAGTGTGACCACGACATCCGACAGTGCGGGCTGAGTCCTGGCTGTGTGCTCACAGTGAGACTCGGCACTCCTCCCAATTTCTGAAATGTAGCTCTGCAGCATCTCTGTCAATGTTTCCAGGGATGCTTTTTCGGCGCACTCAAACCCTGCCTCTGTGAGCAAGGAGCTCACAACCACTTGCAGAGTTCTCCTCCGGGCCAGATGGTAGTTATCAGCAGGGTTAGGAGACTGTTTACTTCCTGATCTCGTTCCGGAGCCGCTAGCCCCGGCCGCGGCCGCCGCGTCGGCCATCTTGCTCTGGCGTGGCGTGACAGCCCTTCTCTTAGAAGAACTGGGTGATGTGCCTAGAGAGCTCCGAGTCCTTGGGAGGCCGGTAGTTAGATACATGATCCACTCAGATAGTTCGCCCTTTAATTTTTTTTTTTGTCTATAGGGTTTTATTTGAAACAATAGTTGCACCAAGCAAGAGCTTACCTTCCCCAGTCCAAATTAAAACGGCACAATGGGGGGAAAAATGTCATTTGGTAGCACAGTTCCAATATGTGAATATCATCCTCATCATGGTTGGGGTAACTTTATTCATAAGCAGTTGTTTGTACACAAAATATTAACCCCAAACTTGTAGTGTCACATAAAAGGAAGTGGTCTTAATTTTTCATGTGGGGCAGTATGTTCTATAAATGCCAAAAGGTGGGAGAAGGACAAACACAACCCACTCTTTAAAAAAACTAATTCAAAGTAGAATTTTCTATCCCCCTTTCTCCTGTAATAAAAAGTAGTGCTGGGATGTGTCACCCAGATTTGGTTTTTATCCTGACCATTGACAAAGTATTCCCCATATGACTTGCATCATTAGGGTTTTGGATAATAGTTCGTTCACTTTGAAGAGACAGGTGTCTACTCCTTCCTCCTCTTCTTGCCTTTATGCTCATGTTCCTTGGGGCGGCTGCTATCTGAAGGTCTTTTAGAGCCACCATGCTGTTTGGCTTCTTCCAAAAACTTGTCCAAGCCAAAAGGATCTTCCTCAAACTGAACTGGTCCTTCTCTGCCTCTCTGCCTACGGTCTGAACTGGAAAATTCCTTGTCGGGAACAAATCTGTTGGTCTTTATTCTGGCTTCTAGGTCATCACCATACATGTCCTTGTCCAGATTTTTACTGGGCCTATAAATACTCTGGGCCCTATCTTTACCACCTCTCCAGGCTTGATCATAAACATTGTAAATTTCATCTTCTCCACCTGCAAATCCACTGTCCATACCCTTGGATTGGTTGAAGAGCCTTTGGTCATACTGAACGTCATTGGAAGTCCGAGGATTGGGCACACCAAGAGCAATGACTTCACTGATATCCCGATTTTCATTTCTCTGAAGTTTCGACCTCTTATCAGGAGCGGCCCTAGAAAGATTCCGGTCATGCTGTCCTTCTTTTCGCCTATCATGCCGGATTTTGTCCCTCTCACGTGCCTCCCCATCCTTTTTCCACATGGGTTTTGAGCCCAGCTCTCCTCTCCCTGGCTTTCTGGGCCACTTCTCTAAGTTTCTCTTCATGTTTCTCCTTTTCTTTCTGAGCCCTTTTTCTCTCTACTTGGGCACGCATTTCCACAGCTTCACGGGCCTTCCGATCAGCAATGTAGAGAGCTTCAGCCAGGATGGCAAAATTTTCATTTATGTGCACTGTCTGTAGCCCTCTTCCATCAGCAGCCAGACATTTATCTAATGGAATTGTATAACCCTTTGCATTTTTCCAGTTAGAAATACAAGGAGGAATCTTCCACTCTTGTTGTTCCTTTACAGTCATCTTTCGGCTAGGAGAATGCATGACAGGTGCAGGAGGAGAGGATGGTCCCCGGGGGATTTTCTCATTGATCTTGAACCTTGGAGGCTCCATTGGATCTTTCTGCATTTCTACCATGCGAATAACCCTTTGTTTAGCTCCAGAGTTGAAAGCCACTCCTGGCTGAGATGGTGTGTATCGGATATACTGAGCAGGAGCCAGTTTGTCAGCTGCTCGAACTGGCATGGCTGCGGCAACCTTCTGCGATACGGATTTTTCTAAGGCTACCCTTGTTTTTTCTGTTACCTCTTTAATAGCTTCTTCGTCGGGTCTTTGCAGGTCTGGATCATCTGCATTCATAACCTCCTTTGGAATCAGGTCACTGTATTTGCTATAAATGATCTTGTCTTTTGACTGTCCTTGTCGAGCAATTGCATTATACTTAATTTTTCCTTCAGGATCCACCTGAATGGCCAGTGCATTCGACACTTTTTTCTTTCGTCCCATGTCCAGTGGATACTGGGCCACATGGATCTCTGGAAAAGCGCCTCCATCTCCCAAATCCTCTAATGACCGAGGTATCCAGCCTTTCCAATAGCCGTATGGGGGAGGTTCTCTTCGGGAGGATACCAGTGAGGTCTGGCGTGACCTCTGAGATCTTGCCTTCTCTTCAGCCTCAAGCTGGTCCTGAGATAGCTGAGTAGGTGCAGGTAAA